GGAACGGACAAACATAATCCAAAAATAAAACCATAATCTAAAACCTCAAAAAGAGGTTGATCGACGCCAAAGGGAGTTGGAAGGAGATACGTCCCGAGGTCCTTTGGGCATACCATACAACCTCGAAGTCCAGTACAGGAGCCACCATATTTTCTTTGGTTTATGGCACCGAAGCTCTAATAGCAGTCAAGTTTGGAGAACCGAGCATCAGATTCAGATATGCAACAAAGGAATCAAACAACAAGGCTGTGAGTACGGGCCTAGAGCTATTAGATGAAAGGCGCGAAGCTGCCCTTATCCGGATGGCCGCCCGAAAATAGCGGATCGAAAGGTACTACTATCGAAGGGCCAACCTTCAACACTTATATACCGGGGACTTAGTACTAATAAAGGTCACACTAAACACTTGAAACCCGAATGAAAGTAAATTGGGGCCAAACTGGAAGGACCATACCAAATTATTGAGATCAATGTATAAGGATCATACAAGCTCGGAACGATAAACGGTGAGCAATTACCAAACAACTGGAATATAACTCACTTAAAGCAATATTACTGCAAAGGTACATCACCGATTCTTTCTTTTATTTTACATTTCAAATTAACACTTACAGGTGACCAACAAGGGATGATACAAGATCCTAGGTCTGAAAGCACGCGTTGTACTCTTTTTTCCTTGAACCCGCTTTGTCCCAAATGGGTTTTCTGGCAAGGTTTTTAATGAGGAAACAAGTAAATTGTGATAACTTAGAATAAAAGGTCGGCTACGAACCGGTGACAATGACCACAAAAGCATTCGAGGCCTCTCTTCCGTCACCCCGAACACTTAGGGAAAATACCCTCGGATACCGACTCTAGAAAGGAGGGATACTTCGTGATTGAAGGGTCTCAATCAATAGGACCTGTTGTAAGGGCCAAACATTTAAATGAATCGTGCCCACACAGACAGCCTGAGCCCTGGCATGCAACATGTGTACATGTACAACTATTATGCACAAGAATAAAAAGAATACTCTTCCTTGCACATAAACATCTTTTCCTTTAAAATATTTCTTGCATTTCTCAAAGAATTTCCTACACCCGATCCCCTAAAGGTATCGAGCCCAAGGGTCACCCCTAATTAGAGTTCGAACATTCACTCTCACTCGAGGACTGCCTACCGAAGATAACCTCAGGCGGTCGAAGCTATCAAAGCCCGAGGGCACAAAGCTTATTTGGCAGTGCCCAAATTTAAAGGCTAAGGCCATTCCGGGATAGCAAAACCCGAGGGCACAAAGATTATTTGGCAGTGCCCAAATTTAAAGGATAAGACAGTTACGGGTTATCAAAACCCGAGGGCACAAAGCTTATTTGGCAGTGCCCAAATTTAAAGGCTAAGGCCATTCCGGGATAGCAAAACCCGAGGGCACAAAGATTATTTGGCAGTGCCCAAATTTAAAGGATAAGACAGTTACGGGTTATCAAAACCCGAGGGCACAAAGCTTATTTGGCAGTGCCCAAAAAGGCTAAGGCCATTCCGGGTTAGCAAAACCCGAGGGCACAAAGCATATTTGGCATTGCCCAAATTTAAAGGCTGAGGTCATTCCGAGTTAACAAAACCTGAGGGCATAAAGCTTACGAAAACACACTCTCGACAAATCATACCCTAAAAAGAATAAGTGTTTTGGGGAAAGGTTTTTGGTAAACACCGATAAACTTTTGCAAAAACAAGTAAAAGAAGAAATTCAAAAGCGTGAAAGGGTAAATATAAATACTTAAAAACCCTCCGCGTGGGTGGCGATCGATTCCTCAGGGGTAGGGACCACTACAAGCTTATCGACCCAGTTATAGTCCTTCTTGACCTTATCAAGGTCACTGGCAGTAATCGTACATATGTACCTCGAGATCAGCTCACACCGGCCTGGTGCTGAGGAGGTTTTCTCGATCTTGAAGTCGGCCCCGGTTGGGCACCCCACAGGTACATACAATTTTAGAGGGGGTTCCGTTATTGGTTCCTCAGTAGTAGCAGGCAAAGCATTTTTAGATGGTTTCAAGGAAGAAGGGGTTTCTTTTTTAGGAACAGATTTTGAAGTCTTTGCCATTTCTTATAAACAATGGAGAAAAGAAAGTGTTGGTAAAAGAGGAGCCTAGCTTAGCATATAACTTATGTAAATTTTCAAAGAACTAGAAAAGAAGAATTTTTTAGGCTAAGCTAGAAAATAAGAAGATGAAGCTGATGAAGCTTTCTTAAAACACAAGAGAAGAGTTTGAATGTAAAAGTTCTATTAAATGGATGAAAGAGGTATTTATAGTTTTCTCAAAAAGGTGGTTCACATCCTATAGCGGTCGATCGTCAACTAACACTCATTTAATGCCTCCAAAAATGGACTGACGGGATGTTTCAACTATTTTTATCACTTACGTCATGAAGTCGCCGTCACGATTTATTGAAGTGACAATCAGAAGCTCATATCATTCCAGAAAAAAAGAGGATGTTACGTCATGATATATCGCAGTAAGAATCGGAGGTGCATTTTGTTCCTCGTCATCTAGTTTCCGAAAAATGAGGGGACTTGTAAGGACCCAACTGGTCATTTTGACTATTAGAACCTCTTTTCCCTAAATAAGACTCCCATATGTTCTTTTACTAATTTAAGACTTGCGGTGATGGTTGGTTCGGGATCTGGAGGGTTGAAATCGGAGCACTTGGTTCCTTAGTTAGTTTTAAAAAGGGCGAGTTTGACTTCGATCAATATTTTTAGTAAACGACCTCGGAATCAGGATTTGACGGTTCCAATAGGTTCGTATGATGAATTTGGACTTGGGCCTATGATCGGATTGGGTTTTGGATGACTCGGGAGCGTTTCGGAGCCTATTGTATAAAGTTGGCCTTTTGGAAGAATTTCATAAATTTAGGTTGCAGTGCATTTCAATGTTATCGAAGTCCGTTTGGGATTCCGAGTCAGGGAATAGCTCGGTATGGTGATTCGAGTCTTAGAAGCGCGTCCGGATGTTAATTTGGAGGTTCGTAGGTAATTTCGGGGTCATTTGGCGAAAGTTAGAAATTTAAAGGTTTTTAAGAAGTTTGACCACGAGTGGACTTTTTTATATCGGAGTCGAATTCTGATTCCGGAAGTTGGAGTAGGTTCATAATATTAATTATAACTTGTGTGCAAAATTCGAGGTCAATCGGATTTGATTTGATAGGTTTCGGCATCGAATGTAGAAGTTTGAAGTTCTAAAGTTTATAAAGCTTGAATTGTGGTGCGATTCATGATTTTGATAGTGTTTGATGTGATTTGAGGCCTCGATCAGGTTCATGTTATGTATTGGGACTGGTTGGTACGATTGGACGGGGTCCCGGCGGCTTCGGGTGTGATTCGGGGTGGTTTCAGACCAAGTTTGGGTGTTTTGATGCTTCTGGTTACTGGTTCTGGTGTTGTTCTTCACGTTCGCGAAGAAGGATTTTGTTGTTGGGACTTTGATCTTCACGTTCACAAAGAAAGAATTTTTGTTGTCCGTCATCTAACTTGGGAAGCTTATATCTTTCAATCTATAATGAATCTGATAGCTGGAGGCAAGATACTGGTACCTGCAGGACGGCTCAGAAAGGCAGCTCACCACTACGCCCTTAGATAACAAGGATGTGCGATGATAGGTCCTCCACTAGACGTATACTTGCATGTGCCTTTGGGAGCAACAAGTTTTTGGGGCCGTTGTCGGGGACTTGAATATTGACTACTTTCTAGTTTCTACTTTCATTGTTTATTTCGTCAAGTCTAACGTTACTTGATTTTTACTTTGATCTCAGGAACTTTGATTGAATATGCATGGTCAGAATCCAAGACCGACTTCAAGGCTTTAACCCCGAACCTGAGAGAACATTTCATAGGAGGTTGAGGGAAGCAAGGGACACGAATAATATCCAGGCACTTGTTCAATTACCTGTGAACATGGCAGAGGAACATATGGTTGTTCAGGAGGTGGCAATGCTCAGCATTGCTAATGTCACCTTCAGCATTGTGAAGCCCAGGATCACTGGGCACTTTAAGCTGAAACAGAGCATGATCCAGCTACTTCATGCGAATGGGCAATTTATGGGTCTTTCACACGAGGATCCACAACATCATATCCCAAACTTCTTGGAAATTAGTGCTACTTATATCACTAACGGGGTCACTCCAGACTATGTAAGGCTCACACTTTTTCCATTCTCTCTGTTGGGCGAAGCAAAGCGATGGCTGAAGGCAGAACCAGCTAATTCTATTACATCATGTAATGATCTGGCTAGGAAATTTCTGGCAAGGTTCTTCCCTTCATGCAAAACTGCAAAGATCAAAAGTGAGATAGTCGCCTTCAAACAGAAAGCGGGGGAGTCTCTATACTCAGCTTGGGAGAGGTTCAAGGGGCTGCTTAGAGATTGTCCTCATCATAATCAAACAAACAAAGTGTTAGCTCACACTTTCATAGAAGGGCTACATCTTGAGACAAAAGTTGTGGTAGATGCTGCAGCTGGAGGTCAAGTGTTGTAGAAAAGCTTTGACGAGATATATACATTATTGAACAAATTCTCCAAAAGCAATCCGGATTGGCAAGGAGAAATGGGCAGACACACGGTACAAAATTCTGCAGGGGTTCTCGAGTTAGATGTCGTCTCGGCATTATCAGCGCAGATTTCCACACTTACCAACCAAGTCATTCAGATGACCATAGTTATTAACAAGCAACAATCTCAACCAGTACAATAGGTACAAGTGTTTTGTGTAGTATGTGGAGAGGGTCACACGAGCGACTTATGCCCAGTTAATCCAGAGTATGTCTGCTTTGTGGGTAATGTAAATAGGGGCCAGAAAAACCAATATGGGAACACTTACAATCCCAACTGGAGGAACCACACAAACTTCTCTTGGGGTGAAAATCAAGGTGCTCAAAATGAATACCGAACACAAGCACCTCAACAACAATATAGACCACCTCAGGCTGAATAACAGGCAAACTCAATAAGTCACCTTGAGGAAACGATGAAGAAATTGATGGTTGATCAGCAAGCCCAAGACACAACAATGAGAAATTTGGAGCGCCAAGTGGGACAACTTGCCAGTGCCCAAAATGCTAGACCAGTTGGAGCTCTTCCAAGTGACACTGAAGCTGATCCTAAGGCATCCATTAATGCCGTGTCATTAAGGAATGGGAGACAATTAGAAGAAGTCCAGTCGAAAAAGAAAAAACATGTGACTTTTAATGAGAGGCCAGCCACTATAGAGTCAGAATCAGAAAAATCAAAGGAATCTGAGAAGCCAACTGAAGAAGCGGTGGCTAAGCAACCTCCATCATTTGTTGTGAGGCCACCACCTCCGTTCCCTCAAAGATTGCAGAAGGTGAAGGATAATGTCGCGTATAAGAAGGTTCTTGATATTTTGAAGCAAGCGAAAATTAATATTCCTTTGGTAGACATCTTGCAAGAAGTGCCCAAATATGCAAAATACATCAAGGACATATTGCCAAATAAAAGGAGGTTGACCGAGTTCAAGACTGTGGCACTCACTGAGAAATGTAGCTCAAGAATTCAAAGCAAGCTACCTCAGAAATTGAAGGATCCGGGTAGTTTCACTATCCAAATCTCGATTGGTAAGCATATAGTCGGGCGAGCCTTATGTGATCTTGAGCAAGCATTAATTTGATGCCGCTATCTGTGTTCAGATAGTTGGGGTTGGGTGAGCCACTCCCAACAGTGGTAATCTTGCAGTTGGTTGATCGCTCCCTTGCTCATCCTGAAGGAGTAATTGAAGATGTGTTAGTTCAAGTGGGTTCTTTCATATTCCCTACTAATTTTATTATCTTGGACTACGAGCCTGATCAGGAAGTCCCATTTATTTTGGGGTGTCCATTTTTAGCCACGGGTCGAGCTATTATTGATGTTTGCGAAGGAAAGATGACGATAAGAGTAGGCGATCAAGTGGAGGTATTCAATGTATATAAAGCACTCAGATTTCCAGCCCACTATGAAGAGTTATCCATGATTTCTGTGGTGGAAAGTGATGCTACATCATTAGTGCCTATATGAGCCCTATAAATCCTCTTGAACGAGCTTTGATTGGGGATGAAGAAGATAGTGAATATGAAATGATGGGAGAAATTGAGCAAGTACTTTTATGTCCTGCAGTTATGTCCATGGGTTTGGAAAATTTGAGGAGTTGGACAGGCCTATCACTCTGACCCCTCCTAAGCCATCTATTAAAGACGCTCCAAAGCTAGAACTTAATCCCCTACCAGTGCATCTGCGCTATGCTTATTTGGGGAACTCTGAGACATTGCCCATGATTATCTCATCCAGCTTGACTAACACACAAGAAGAAAAATTGCTCAGAATACTTTGCGAGCATAAAAAAGCTATTGGGTGGACAATTGCTGACATCAAGGGAATCTGTCCATCGTTTTGCATGCACAAAATCTTCTTGGAAGATGGACACCTCCCTAGTGTTGAGCAGCAAAGGAGGTCGTGAAGAAGGAAGTAATCAAGCTGCTCGATGCATGTATCATCTTTCCTATTTATGACAGTAACTGGGTAAGCCCAGTTCAATATGTGCCCAAAAGGGGGGGGACTGTAATTGAGAATGAGAAAAATGAGCTAATTCCTACTCGCACTGTGACGGGCTAGAGAGTCTGCATTGATTATATAAGGCTCAACAAAGCAACCCGCAAAGACCACTTTCCACTTCCATTCATTGACCAAATGTTGGACAGATTAGTGGGGCATGAATATTATTGTTTCCTTGATGGTTATTCGGGATACAATCAGATTGTCATATGCCCAGAGGATCAGGAGAAGACCACTTTTACTTATCCTTATTGCACTTTTACCTTCAAGCAAATGCCGTTTGGTCTTAGTAATGCACCGGCTACTTTCTAGAGATGCATGATGGATATTTTCACCGATATGGTGGAAACATTTGTGGAAATTTTTATGGATGATTTTTCAGTGTTTGGGTCTTCTTATGATGATTGTTTGAAGAATTTGAGCAAGGTGTTAGCCCGTTGTGAAGAAACAAATATGGTATTGAATTGGGAGAAGTGTCACTTTATGGTGCAGGAAGGTTCATTTTGGGTCACAGAATGTCTAGGAGCGGCATTGAAGTTGATAAGGCGAAGGTGGAAGCGGTTGAAAAATTACCTCCACCTATTTCTGTGAAAGGTGTCCGGAGTTTCTTGGGACACGTGGGATTCTATCGGCGCTTTATTAAAGATTTTTCTAAAATTTCTACTCCTTTGTGCAGGTTGCTTGAAAAAGATGTAACTTTCAATTTTGATGAAGCCTGCCTTAAAGCATTTAAAGAACTCAAAAAGAAGTTGGTGGTTGCTCCCATTATTGTGGCACCAGATTGGTCCTTACCATTTGAACTTATGTGTGATGTGAGTGACCATGTTGTTCGGGCATTGCTAGGCCAGAGGAAAGACAAGGTGTTTTATTCCATCTACTATGCGAGTAAGACTCTTGATGATGCACAGCTGAATTACACCACCACTGAAAAGGAGTTATTAGCCGTTGTGTAGGCCTTTGAGAAATTTCGGGCATACTTGGTGGGAACAAAAGTCATAGTCCATACCGATTATGCAACAATCAGGTATTTATTTACAAAAAAAGAATCCAAGGCTAGATTAATGTGCTGGGTTTTGTTGTTACAGGAATTTAATGTAGAAATACGAGATAGAAAGGGCATAGAGAACCAAGTAGCTGACCATCTATCAAGGCTGGAAAATCACGACCACGTGGAGGAGGGTGGCCAAATTAAAGAAGTATTTCCTGATGAGCAACTTTTTGCTATCACCCAAGACCCTCCCTCATGGTACGCAAACTATGTGAATTATCTTATGAGTGGGGTACTTCCTCCTGAAATTGAATCTGAAGCCAGAAAGAGGTTTTTACATAATGTGAACTTCTACTATTAGGATGAGCCATATTTGTACAAGCAATGTGTTGATCAGTTGATGAGGAGATGCATTCCAGAAAAGGAGGCAAAATTAGTATTGTATGATTGTCATGCATCACCTTATGGGGGCCATCATGGAGGAGATAGAACAGTTGCAAAGGTATTACAATCCGGGTTTTTTTGGCCAACTTTATTCAAGGATGCCTATGCATTTGTTAAGAAGTGTGACCAATGTCAGAGAATAGGAACAATCACTAAGAGGCATGAGATGCCTTTGAATAAACATCCTAGAGGTTGAGATTTTTGATGTATGGGGGATAGATTTTATGGGACCATTCCCATTGTCCATAGGAAACAAATACATTTTGCTAGCAGTTGACTACGTCTCAAAATGGGTAGAGTCGATCGCATTGCCAACAAATGATGCCATGGTGGTAGCTGTGTTTGTGAAAAAGAACATATTTTTCGAGGTTTGGGACTCCACGTGCATTGATAAGTGATGAAGGGACGCATTTTTGCAATCGATTGTTGAATAACCTTCTAGCTAAATATGGGGTCCGCCATAGAGTTGCGATATCGTATCATCCTCAAACGAGTAGACAAGCTGAGGTGTCGAACAGAGAAATAAAGCAAATTTAGAGAAGACGGTGAGTGTGAATAGGAAGGATTGGGCTGCAAAGTTAGATGATGCATTGTGGGCATATAGAACTGCATGCGAAATACCAATTGGGGTGTCGCCGTATAAGCTTGTTTATGGAAAGGCATGTCACTTGACTGTTGAACTTGAACACAAAGCATACTGGCCATTAAAAAGTTGAATATGGACCTTGACGTCACGGGTGAGAAAAGACTCCTGCAGTTGAATGAATTAGATGAGTTCAGACTGCACTCTTATGAAAATGCTAAGCTATATAAAGAGAAGACTAAAAGATGGTATGACAAGCGTATCAAGCCACATCACTTTGAGCCAGGCCAACAGGTATTATTGTTCAATTCTAGACTAAGGCTATTTCCTGGGAAGTTAAAATCGAGATGGCCAGGCCATTTTGAGGTGGTGAGAGTCACTCCTTATGGTGCATTTGAGTTGCGAGCTTTAAATGGTAAAAGAAAATATATGGTGAATGGACAAAGAGTCAAGCATTATTGGGGAGGAATAGTTAATCGTGAGAAGACCAAAGTTGTACTCGCTGACGAGTAAGCGAGACCCTGCATCGTGCCGCGACGTTAAATCATGCGCTTGTTGGGAGGCAACCCAATTTTTATTGCTTTCATAGCTTAGCTTCTTAAATATTTTTAGTTAGAGTAGAATAGAGTTGCATTTTCTTTAAAGGCATAGAAATTATACGTAGAATGGTGTAAGACATATAAATTGGGTATATAAAAGGCTCGGGGGATCGGGATGTTATCAAAAAATAAAAAAATAAAAAACATTATCGAAAACAGCGCCCAAGCCAGTGCCTAGAGCTGCCTGGGACGCTACAGGCAGAATGCGCAAGACCCCCCAGCGCCATGCATAGCGCTGAGTTGGGGGTGTCCAGGTATTTGTTTTTTAATTTTGTTTTTATTATTTTCGTTTTTATTTACTAAATAACCCATACCCATAAAACCCAACCCATATACCCATCTACACTATCATTATAACCCATCTTATTGCCCCAAACCCATACCCAACTCAACTTAAACCATAACCCAATTAAACTCAAAATACCCCAAGTTGAAACATCAGAAAACGCACTCCTCTCTCTTTCTTTTTCTGCCGCGAATTCCTTCTTCTTTTTCTCTCAAAATTTCTCAAGTTTTCTCTTGCTCTCATCCTAAACTCTACATGTATGTTCTTCTTTTTCTTCTTCTTCTTCTTCTTCTTCTTCTTCTTCTTCTTCTTCTTCTTTTTGTGTTCTAATTGGTATATAATGATGTACATCCCATCCCCCAAGTGCCCTAATCCTCAAAATTTCCCCTTTGTAGTTTTTGTTTTTTGATGAATTTTTATGGTGGGTGGTCCACATTGGTCGAAAATTGTTTGGTTATTGTGTATACAGAGTGGTAAACTAGAATTTCCTCTACTTCGTTGAAATTTGGAAGGGCCACCATGTTCCACAATTGTTGAACTAGAATGCACACACTTTATGCTCACAAGGTGTTTGTTAAAATGTGTGTATGAAGAGTTTATTGTACCGGTGAAGTCTGACTAACCGAGTATTTTTGTGTATGAATTTGGGCTAAGTTTGGGGTGTGTGGGGATGAGTTTACATGCTAGGGAGCTTGGCTTCGATGCAAACATGTTCCTAAACCATCTATCTTGTATAATGTATGTCGTATAATATTGTAAATTTAGCTAATTTAATGTAGTGTAGTAGTTGTAGAAAGGTGAGTAACATATGCCTCTTGCTTTCCTTATGGTGAATTCACTAAGCCATGATCGCTCCCTTGTGTGTGGCATTGATTAGTGCCTTTTAACTATTGTACAGCATGGGGAAGTCTTGAGTACCCATATCTTTGGAGTGGAACACTTGAGCATTTTAGATCAAAGTTGTGAAGTATTGTACATTGTGCCTTCGGTTTTAAGTGTGGGGTCATTCGTGACTTGTGCGACAACCTTAGGCATATTTCTTGATGAGTTCTTACATTCATGCTTATTTGTGTTATAGGATATTATGGCTCGTGATAGTTCTAGCAAAGGCAAGGGAATAGGCAAGTCCTCCACCACTGCCCCCGCGACCAAAAAACGCAAGCAAGGATAAGGATCCTCGAGACAAGAAAAAGGGAAACAAGTGGCTGAGGCATCATAGCATGCTCCATTACATACCAAGGCCTCGGTTGAAACTAGTATCTAATGCAGCTATTGCATGGCATAGGGATTTCGTGCCATATGGGCGGTATGTCTCCGAGATGGGGATAGATGTCAAAGCTTTGGAATGAAACTTCCCGGATGTCCTTGGCCGATTACGCGCATTAAATATGGACAAACACCTAGAATGCCCTGGGCATACAAATTTGAGCATGGTTAGGGAATTGTACGCCAACTGGAATTACAAATCGTCTATGTCATATGTACATGGGAAGGACATGCCATTGGATAGGAGGGCCTTATGTAAGTTTTTAGGGGTTGAGAATGCTCACTCGGGGAGGCTCCATAAATTTGTCAAAAGCCCAAAATACACATTAATGCGTCACACTCTTTGTGTCGTGGATTAAAATGCCAAGTGGACCAGGAAGCAAGGCGAGATTCACAATCACATGGTTCCCTCTGATTTTAACAAAACTGCCAAAGTGTGGCAAAATTTTGTGCAAACCAGACTCATGCTAGTGGAGCACAGTAGCGACTGCACTCGAGCTAGAGTGTGTGTCATATTCTTTTTGATGACTGGCAAACCCATTAATTTGGGTGAGATTATGCTCGGTGAGATGGCCCGCACGAGATTTAGGCGCCAGATTAAGAGGTTCTTCTTCGGCAACTTACTCATACAATATATGCTCTTATGGGAGGTGTCGGAGTATCCAGGATATGATGAGGTGGTGGAGGCTCCTACAGAGTTATTGGACATCACATCATTGTTGGAGACGTCATCTAAGCTCACTCAGGCGGCAAGGAACGAACGAGACGAGAATTTCAACATGTACCTCTATAACTCTTTGAATTTACTCATGAGCAGGGTTGGTATCACAGACAAGGAGCGTATGCACTTACGCAATGACTTGTCAAGTTAGTCTAGGGAGATGTTGGGGATTGCACCAGGCAGCCCTGTTCACTCGTCGGAGGACGTAAACACTGTCAAGGACTCAAACACAGAGGATGAGGTTGATGATGTTACGGGACCCCTGGCTTTGGTGCCTCTTGGACCGGGTGATGATGTGCCTGGAACTGCTGATGGAGGGCACGTTGAAGAGGAGGACTCCGACTGACAGGGAGTTTTCTTTTCACCCTACTATGTTTTATATTTTTATATGCATCGAGGACTATGCATAGACTAAGTGTGGGGTGGGAGGAATACTACCTGTGATGTAGTTGTATATCTTGTATCAATTTATTTTAATTTGTTTTTTTATTAGTTCTACTGAGTCTAGTGTTAGTTTAGTTTGTTTTAGAAAGAAATAAAAAAAAATATAAAAATACAGAAAAATAAAAAAACACCAATGTTTTCCCGACGATGGATCTTTTGGACAATGTTTTTTTTAGGGATAAAGTCCGATTAAAAACACCAAAAAGTTTTTTTTTTTAGGATAGTTAGGTAGTATCCCTTGGTTTTTCTTTGGGCGCCGGTTCTTTTCCAAGGGTGTAGCTCAAATCGGGTATTTTATTTTTTTTAGGAGTAGTATAGGAAGAAACTGATTTGCTCGGAGCTACCTAGTGACATGTTTGGCGCTGGCACATTAGGCTATGACATGCATTCTATCATCCCGTGTATTTGTTTTGAATTGTGATGTCTAAGTAAATTAAATACCCTATTTTGTGACGCCTTGTCTCAGTTATTTGACTTGTATGCCACATAGTGCAATATTGCTTAATTTTTCTCAATTATGTGTGCTTGCTTGACTTGAGAGTTGAACAAAACCGTCGTGATTGAGTCATGTGCAATGTGTATGTGAGGATTTGTGATCTTCTACGCTATCTTGTACAGTCTATAACTTTCCTCGTGTGTTAATCAAAGCGAAATTGTAAGTTGTGCTAATCTAGAAGATGACGTAGGCATTTTTTTGCTTGATTAAAGATGTGCTTGTGTAACGACCCGACCTGTCGTTTTGAGCTTTAGCATGTCGTTCGGCATTTTGAGGCTCTGAGTAGCTTCACTTCAGGTATTACGACTTGTACGCATGGTCGGAATTTAATTTCGGGAAGTTCAGAGTTGATTTGGAAAGAAAAATCCCATTTCGGAAACTTTAAGTTGGAAAGAGTGACTAAGGTATGATTTTTCAGTAAATGACCTCGGAATTGGGATTTGAAGGTTCCAACAGGTTCGTATGATGATTTTAGACTTGGGCGTATGTTCGGATCGGGTTTTGGATGACCCGGGAGCGTTTCGACGCCTATTATTGAAATTGGCATTTTGGAAGAATTTCATTAATTTGAGTTGAAGTGCATTTCAATGTTATCAATGTCCGTTTGGGATTCCGAATCTGGGAATAGCTCCGTGTGGTGATTCCGGTATTGGGAGCGCATCCGGAAGTGGATTTGGAGGTCCGTAGGTTATTTCGGGGTCATTTGATAAAAGTTAGAAATTTGAAGGTTTTTGGTGAGTTTGACCAGGAGTGGACTTTTTAATATCGGGGTCGGATTCCGATTCCAAAAGTTGGAATAGGTCTATAATGCCAATTATGACTTGTGTGCAAAATTTAAGGTCAATCGGACGTGTTTTGGTAGGTTTCGGCATCAATTGTAGGAGTTTGAAGTTCAAAAGTTCATTAAGTTTGAATTGGAGGGTGATTCGTAGTTTCGATGTTGTTGGATGTGATTTAAAGGCTCGACTAAGTTTGTAATATGTTTTGGGACATGTTGGTATAATTTGTTAAGGTCCCGAGGGCCTCGGGTGGATTCCGGATGGTTAACAGATCGAGTTTGGACTTGGAAGAAAATATGAGGCAGCTGATATCTGGTGTGATCGCACCTGCGCAAAAAGGGCCGCAGGTGCGAGGTCGTAGGTGCCAGCCAATGGTCGCAGGTGCGGTTTGGGCGAAGCTGGGCAATGACCGCAGGTGCGAAGGGTTGTCCGCACCTGCGAGGTCGCAGATGCGGAGGTGCGTCGCAGGTGCGAGAGTGAGAGAAGAGTCTGGGAGCGCAGGTGCGAGGGTATGTCCGCACCTACGAAAGCGCAGATGCGGAAGGAAAGGCGCATGAGCGGAGTCATGCTATGCAGAGGGAATGCATAGGTGCGAGGTTTTGGCCGCACCTGCGAGACCGCATATGCGACAAAGAGGCTGCAGGTGCGAAAGTCGGGCTGGGCAGAATGCTTTTAAGCGGGGTTTGGGTTCATTTCACCCATTTTTCATTTTGGTTGGGCGATATTTGGAGCTTTTGAAGAGGGGATTTCATCATCTATTATGAGGTAAGTAACTCCCACCTATTTTGAGTTAAATACATGATTTTTATGTGGATTCAAGCATGGAAATTTGGTAGAAATTTGGGATTTTGAAGAAAAACCTAGAAATTGGTATTTTTGACTTTTGACTACGAATTTGGGCATGGAATTGGAAATAAATTAT